CCATTTGGAGATTGGTAGTTGAAATTGAAGAGCAAGCTTTAAGATTTTTTAAAAAATATAAGGCTTATTTTTATAAGATTTGGAATAATTTATAATTATTTTTCAAAGTCAAGGTTTGTATTGGTGAGTTTGGATTTATATAATATAATAAGGGCTAGTACTCTTAGCTAATTTGTATAATTGATTTTATATCTATAGTTCAAAATTTGATAGTGCTTGGTTGATTGGGTGTACTAATTATGTATTAAATTTTGTATTAATCTAATAATGTGGTTGGAAGATATTTAATTTTTGATACAAGAAGGTATCAAAAGTTGGCACTTTGAAATTAGATAGGATTTTTATGATATCTAAAGATCTACTAATCAAAATAAGGTGAAATTTAGCATAGTATTAGAAGACTTAAAGATCAAGCCATAAAAAAAATTTGAATTAAAGCTAATAATTAAAGAAAGAGAAATTGCTACTAGGATATCTACATCAACTTTTGAATTGAGAGTTGTGTGACATTAGTACAGTTTTTTGGATGTTTCTTCATAATTTATAAGTTAAATTGGATTAATTTTTTTTATGCAAGTAAAAGACTTATAGTGGCATTTGTATACAAAATTATATACTAAGTGGATAGTCAAATTAGAAGTTACAACTTACTAAAGCTCATTGATTAAAATTAGGGATTACAAAAAAAAATCAAAATTATCTAATTATGAAAGTAATAAGGTAATTGGAATTTGTGTATAGTTGAGGTTACTAAAAAGGATATTTTAGAGAACTTTGTATTGGCTTTAAGCACTTTTGAATTAAAATTCAAATTACATTCTTCTTATATGAATGAAATCTATTAGGATTTCTTAGATTCTTGTAAAACTTAACTTCACCTTCTACAGCCAAATGCTTAGTGCATTTCCAAATAAGACAATACGTAATATAATATATGCTAGTTTAATAAGGCTATTATTAAATTTATTTTTATATTAATAATAGTTTTTATATATTTAAAGCCACCTTTATTAGACATTGATGATTCATAAAATCTTATTTTATTTCTTTTATTTGGTGTTTAAAGTACATATTATGTAAAAATTATTAAAAAAAGAATTAAAGAAGGATTTTTATATAAAAAGGAGTAATTAGACCAACCATATGGATGAATGGAGATGGATGATGAAAATCTCCATTCTTATTGGCCAAAATTCATGTCCAATAAATTTCAAGGAGGTTGCCTAAGGCTTTATTAGGAATTAGGATTATTCTTTTAAGGCCATCAAAAATTAGAATCATCAAGTTCAAGATTTTGGATATGGTTTTTGTAAAAAAATTCTATGCTTTGGAGTTTTTGTGAACGGAATATAGATGCTTAAAGTTAAGGTATCAATTTTATATCTATTGTCACTCTTTGGGACATAGCAGACACATATAAAGGACTTTTGAAGATTAAATTGCTTAAATAAAAAGTTGATTTAAAGGGCTATATTTTTATATAAAAAGTAAAAGATTTAAATTTGATTTAGAAGAAGAATGATTGCTTGATGACAATACTTCCAAATTGAGGTTTGTAAATAAACCAATTTCATGAGAGATTTGATTCTAGCCGTATCTTAGGCATTTAGATGAATCTTTGGCTAAAATTTTCCACAAATATGTATTATTATGTTGTAAAGCTATACACCAAATTTTGTAGTATTTAGATTTTGGATTTTTGAGATATAAAGAAAATAGTATTTGGATACTTATAAAGTAGGATTTAGAGGATAAGTTAGGATTTCCTAGATGCCAAACAATCTATAGTAGATTTATAGTTCATTTTTTTGTTGGTAAAGCTTAAGAGTAAATGCTAAATTTTCTAGAAATTTGAAAGAAATTGAATGGTTGAATCTAGAGATATGATATTCTAAAGTTTGGAGAAAAAAATTCTTTGTAGGAAAAAAATATTTTAAAAGGATTTTTCTACAATTTGGACATTTTATACAAAGTAAAAGGATTTTTGGGAGTCAAGACTTTATATGTATATTAAAAATGGAGATATGGAGCTATAGAAAAATCATAGTATACAGATAGATTTTTGTAAGGAGATTATAGATTTTTCTTTAAGCTTATGAAAAATCTAACTTACTACCAAATATTTAATTATGATTTGGTATAGCAAAGGATGTTAAGGAATTTTTAGAGGACTTAGAAAGCCTTGTGTATAAACCTTCTTAAATATAAAAGATTTTTATTATTAGAATATCTTTCTATATTATTATATTTATTTATTTTCTATAATAAGAATAAATCACTTACTAGAGCTTGGCCAATAAGTTAAAGCTAAATTCTCTACATCTACATACCTAGTGTATTTCCGAATAGAAAAACATGCTATACAATAATACAATGCAACTTAAATAAGTATAATGCGATATTTTTGTGCCTTAATTAAGATAGTAGATCTTGCTCAAAGCAACATAGCTTGAACAAATATAATGCAGTAATTATGTACCTTAGTTGATATGATAGATCTTGCTTAACGTAACACAAGTTGAATAAATAAAATACAATAAAGCTTAAATATGTACATAATAATGACAAAGACAATGTTGCATCATAAATAGAGAATATGAGTGAATCTAAGCGAACTTAAGTAGACTTGAGCTTAAAAGTAGGAGCAAGGCAATGAGATTATTTTGAGCTATTTTTTTTTTTTTTTTTAAATAGATAATTAAGATTCTTTGACAAAGGCCAAAAAAAATGGATACAAGTATGATTCTAAGCATGATAAAGAATATGATAATCATAATGAATGTACTTGATTTTTATTTGTTGGAGATCCTATAGTAGAGAAATGAATCTAGAGGTTTTTTATTTTTTATTTTTTTATAATTGAAATGATAGATAGATTATTTTTATAAAAGATTGGACCTGTTTAATATTTTTTTAAATTTAATTTGTATTAAAATTGATTCATGAGGGCTTTATTATTTTAAACCATATTATATGTAAGATTTTAGACTGTAGCAATATAAATAATAGTTAAATGTGACACTTATTATAAAGTTAGGAGTTCTTTTTACTATTCTTTCTTAACTATTATTTCTAAATATAGTTATAAGTACTTTTTAGAATGAATTTAGATCATAAATAAATTATTAATTTTTTTTTCATAAAAGATGTAAATAAAAAAAATACTCCCAAATAAAAGTGCACCTATAAATCCAACTTGAATAAGTCTATTAAGATATTAGAAAAGATGTAACTGAAATAGAACTTGACTTGTTGTTGAAATCCTCAAAATTTTGATCTTGTTCTATCAAACTTTTCTAATATCAATCTTTATTTTTTTTCTATTTGTGGCATCAAGAATTTTTAAATATATTTAAGAATTAGATCTATTTGCTTCTTATAAGTGCATAACTTCTTAGTATATACATTGAACCTTATTTGTCACTTCTTCTATAGAAATAGAAATATATATATATATATATATATATATATATATATATTTTTGACATTTGTGATATGTGACATATTTGCCACAAGAGTATTTTATGAACTTGTGAAGATTTATAATAGTTGCAAATCTATTCTTATTTCAACTAAGTATAATATACATATATATATTTCTAATAATAAATAACTTTATCAAATCAATAATATAAATTAGAAGATAGTAATCTTTAAGATCTAATATCAAATAATTTTTTTTAAAGAAATATAGTCTATTTTTTTTTAAATGAATATTTTTTAAAAAAAAGTTTTAATTTAAAGGTAAATAGTCTATAACCTTTAAAGCATAACAATAAGAAATTAAATAATCTACTTACTTTCTTAAAAAAAATAATAATAATAGTACTCTTGTCAAATCATTAAAGACATAATCATAACAAAATTCTAAAGAAATAATACATTCTAATAAAACTCAAAGAAAGAAAGAAAAAAATCAAAGATGAATATAAGTTTGAAACTATAATGATTATTATTAAATACAAAGAGGTTAGAAATTCTTTAATTAAGATAAGAATAGAAGAAAGGCATTGACAGATCATTTTTTTTTTCTACACACCTACTTTAATCCACAATTTGCTCAATAATCTTTTAATAAGATTTTTTTCAAGAAAATTTATTCAAAAAATACTTAATTTTATTTGAAATGGAACTTATATTTTACAAATTTAATAATAAAAAATATTAATTAAGTTAAAAAGAATTAAATTTTTCTTTTAAATCATCCTACTAATAACATATTACTAACATTGTTCAAACTACATCTATTTTTATTATATTACAAAGATTATATACTTTAATAATTAATATGAAAAAATCACCATTAGCAATCTATTTACAGAATATATATTTATATTCTATCAGTAAAATGATTCTCTATGAGATTTTACGATAATTGAAAGAGTAAAACTAAGAAAAAAAATATGATTCTTTAGGAAAAAAAACATGCTTGATTTAAAAAAATCAATGAGCACTGTATAGAAATCCATAAAACAATTTACCTCTTATATTTACAAAACTTAAAAGCACGTCTCAAACCAAGATCGTAAATTTTATTTGGATGCATGTCATGTTTCTATTTTCTTACATTTTTTTCTATTTTTTTTTTCTATGTGTCAGTGTTTTCTTTATTTATTTATTTATTTATTTGTAGATTTATTTTCATTTATTTTATTTTCATCATGTATGCATAACACCTTTTTCATTATTTTATTGTGCAATACCTTGTTAGATTTGTTTGCATAGTGATTCAGAGTGGCATGGCACATTAATACGAAACACCAATAACTGGCTACGGCATACGTACAATACAACGACGGAGATAGTAGTCATACAATATAGATTCTGTATGGATCGAGTGGTGGGAACTTTTGCGATGCCGCCCAGCCCGTCTCGTCTGGGCCCGGCCCATGGGGCTCCTGCTGGCCAGTCCCGCTCCGCACCCCCTTCCCCACCCGCCCGCCCGCCCGCCCGACCCGATCCAGGATGGAGGGGACGGGAGGGAGGGGGAGCCTCGGTGATCGCCTCTCTTCTTCCTCTTCTTCTCACTAAGAGTTTGCTCCCTTCCTTAGAGTCTGTTATAGCACTATTGCTCTGTCCGTGACTCCCTCCCTCCTTTGGTCTTATTTTTCATCTTCGCTACCTTCTAGGTCTTCTTAGTTCTGTCTGTCTGTCTGTGACCGTGTCCGTCTCGCTCTCGCACCCTTAACTTATTGTTCTTCCCCTTGGCCCGTTGGTTGTTTTCCTCTCCGTTCCCCTCCCCTTCTCCTTTTGTATCCCTCTCATTGCTGTCAATCCACCAATTCTGCTATTCATGGTGGGTCTGTGGTTGGAATTTATTGGCTTAGGTTATAGGACTTCATGTGCGCCGTCTGGCAGTATATGGAGCATAAGTTGTCGTTGGCGAGAGGAGCATCAGGTCCTCGTGGATTGCATTTGGTGAAATTTGAGGGATGTCGAGGGATGTTGAATGATGTTTTGAAGACGTTTGATGGCTATGGTGACGCTGCGTTGAGTGTGTTGTAAGTCGGGGCATTTGAGTGGAGGAGAAGTGGAGAGGGAGCAGAAAGGAGCGTGGTTTGGGATAGAAGAGGAGGCTCTTAATGATCGGGAAGGTATTGGGGGATGATTGTTTCAGTTGTGGTTGATAGGGGTGCTGTTCCTTTGAAATCGAGTGTGAAGTGAGTGGCGGAAAGGATCGGGAAAAAGTGAGGCCGGGGTTGAGGACAAAGTGATTGCCTGTGGAATTTATTCTCCATGGGCGGACAATGTGAAGGCAGGGGTTGGTGAGGGCATGGGGAAACCGAGGTCTGCGGAACAAAACGCAATAGAGCACGGTGGCGACAGTGCGCCAGTAGGAGGCGCTCGTCTGCGCCCTATGCAGGAAGTGATACGGAACTCGCCCCGTTTAAAACACAAGGGAAGAAATAAGAGTGGTTCATTCATGGCTGACCCCCCCTCTAAGGCAATGGCGAATAGAACTAAGGATCGATGGAAATCGCAAACACCTAAGTCTAAAAGTTCTGGAAAGGTCGAAAAGAACATCAGAGAGAAAAATGTTCACGATGAGGATTCGGAGGAGTCTAACATTGACGACCATCAAAATGAAGAAAATGAAGACGAAGATGAAGACGAAGACGACTCTGATGAGCTGGAGGAGGAGCAAGAGGAAGTGCTTGGAGAAGGGATGTTTGAGGTGGAAGCGATCAGGAAAAAGCGAATCCGAAAGGTACACCATTTTATTTATGAAGTTTCAGGGTAGCTGTCCAAAAAATGTTAAGCTGATGCGAATCCACTTTCTTGGTATCCAATCGTCTTCTTGGCTGTGCATTGAAAAGTAGCCATATTTTCTCAACCTGAGCTACCAGTCGTGAGCAGTAGGTCGCTGCATGTAGGAGTTGATGTTATCGTTTCATCAAGTCTCTAAGTGCGCTACACTTTTACATTCTTTTAGTGTGTAGTTAGGTCATTGATAAACTCTACTTGAACGGCTTTTGGGGCTTTTCTCAGCTGCATACACACTCCTATAATCTAAACAGAGTTCCTCCACCAGCAAGTGCATTTGCGGGTATCGTATTCCGCTTCAGGATGAAGTTTTGTTGTGCCCCTAATTTTTCAGACATCATAGTATTCCTGCGAAGATTGTGTTTTGTTTTTGTTTGTTTTCGTGTTAGTAGGATGAGTTGGCAAGTATTGAGCTTCACATCTACTTGCGTGGGAGATTATCGGAAAAGTTGCACATTTCCAGATCTTTCTGGGGTGAATCTGAGATACTAACGAAGTATACTGCACCTGAACACCACGAATAGCAGCATAGCGTCTCTGTATTGAGACAGACTTTGCACAATGTTTGCATCGTTGATTTGCATAGTCTTGTGATTTATGGATACAAGAAGTTCACGTTAACATTCTATTTTGAATGCGTTTACAGACATTAACACCGCTGTTTGTTCTTTTCTTTTCTTTTTTCTTTTGTTTTTGGCTCTGTTTTTCAGGGCAAGAAGGAGTTTCTTATCAAGTGGTAAGTGTAACCAACCACAAAATGGTGATGCAAGCTTAATGGCGATGTTTCATTATGTTGGTGATCATATCCTAATTATGCATTTTAACGAAGCTTTCTGTGCACTGGTTTCTCGAAAGAACATCACATCTTAATCACACTTGACGAACGCTGCTCCATGTGATTAATCAATTTTTCACAGGCGTAACTGGCCGGAGAAGGATAACACATGGGAGCCGTTTAGTCACGTGGCGAAATGCAGAGACATCCTTGAAGAATTTGAGGCGAGGTAACTCTTCACATTCCTTGATGTATGATGATGGTCTGAATTGCAACCTGAGCTTTAGGTTAGTTGCATCTGTCTCACTGCGTGAACTAAGAATTGTTTGCACTACTGCTTAGTGTATTATTCTCAACTCTTTTCTGACCGCCAGGCCTTGAATGATATCCAGTCAGAAAGCGCGGCGAGGAAAACGCAAATTTGGTACGTACACTCTGGATGGTGCTGGGAAGCGGAAGCGGAGCTTTATGTCTAATGCTGATGAAGATGCGCCCAGTCAGAGTGAAGGGAAAGACACTGTCAAATCTTCTACCGATTCCTATGCTGTACCTGAAGAGAAAGAAAGGAAGACACGACACCAAGCTGGGCTTACTGAGAGGACTGCTAGCCCTTCTGCTGAAGCAGCCCGGACATTGTTAGATTTGCCTGACGAGGCTCCTACCACGTCAAAACTTGCCGCTACCCCTGAAGTAAGCAAAGTGATTGGGGATATCGTGGCCGGAGAAGAAAACGGGGCTGATTCTTTAGGCAGGGCGGTGGTTATTTATGAGACACCTCGGGCTGCAGAGGTTGTTGAGCCTGACGGTGGTGTTGTGGATGGAATTCCGAGCGTAGATACAAAGAGTCTGGGTTTGAATGGCACGAATAGTTGGGCTGACGCCGCTGTTCCTAGGTTCGCTTATGATGACAACACGAAGTTCCCCTCGTCTATGTCTCAGTTGATTACAACGAGAGAAAACGAAGTTCTTGAGAACAAAATTGGAGCTCATCCAGCTGTAGCCGATGAAAGCAGGGGCTTGACCGAGGAGAAGCAGTTGTCAAAGGCGGTTAAGCTGGTGGAATTTGGACACTCAGACGAGGAAATGGATATTAGAAACTTAGGTCTAGTACATGATACTGTCCAAGGTGTAACGGGCAGTTCAAAGTCAGAAGGAGGACCCGTTGGGTCAAAGAGAAGGAAAGGTGCGGTTCCACGCAGGGTCCCTCAGGACCAGGATGGAGTGCAAACTTCTTTGGAGGACATTAAGAGAGAACTTGGGCAAGGTCTTGAGGAATATCATACTACAGCGGATAAAGTATCTGGGAGGGAGTTGGCAACTGTAGCCCGCAAGGATATCCCACCTGAGCATAAAGAGTGTCAGTCTGCTTTTCAAGACAATCTGTCAAGAAAAGCATTGTCAACTCCTCCGCCCGTGGAGAAAAAGGAGATTGGAGCACTTACAACACCTGTCATCACACATATATTAAAGGCCATCAGCTATAGCAACTCTATTACACATGAGAAGCAGGAAGTTTTGGTCCAGTTTAAGGCTTCTAGGTTTGTGTTAAGCTTCCTGCTCTGTACCTTGTGTGCTGTTCATTGCGTTGTGCTTGTTTATACTGTCTTGTGGACGATCTATTATTATTTAGTCACTCTATTTTATTAAGAAGTTTGTTTCTCATGCCTTACTTTTGTGGTGTCAGCCTTTAGTTGCATAGTGATTCATCTTTCTGGAATGTGGTTGACTTAGATTGATAGATAACTTGTTCCGTTCTCTAGACTTATGATCTTAGTAGAGGCTCAGTACAGGTTATCGGTCAGTATTTAATTCTTTTAGTCAGGTTTGCATGACGGTTGTAGATTAAGTTTGATTAACAGGGCTTGCTATTTGGTCAGATCCGATGGGGAGGAGGTGGTGGTTGACAACAAGTTTATGCGAGAAAGTTATCCTCTTCTGGTACTGTATTAATACCTCATCTAGTTTATACAATTTGTATGTTTTCACATGGCACGCTGGAAGAAGGCTAGCATGTGACGAATTCAGCAGGATTTCTTGCTTAGGCAATCATCACTTCCTGCAATGAAATATGATCGTTGTTTCCACTTGCATGGTTGAGATCAAGAGATGGAAAGTTGTGTGTGTTGCACTTGATCACGGAGCTGCCTGCTCTGGATTTGGTTAGTCTCTTTCACTTCACTGATCATGGTTGTTGTGTTTGATATTGTAGTTGATCGACTTCTACGAGCAACACCTACGGTACAGTAATGCGTAAATTTGGAGATCAGAAGAGCTGAACTTTTAACCTGCAACTGTACGTGCACCGAGGTATAATATGCTGGCTTGCCTGGCTCAAGAAGAGAATTCTCATGGGGGTGTGCAACTGGAACTTGAAACTTGATTTTTTTTTTTTTAAACCTTTAGTGTTGGCTTCTTGGGAAAGAACTTCCGCTGGTCTGAAAGTATGTAATTAGTGTCATCTGACATGTTAAAAGACCTGTGTACATTCAAAGTCTTTCTCAATCTTAGTTTGGTGCTAGTAGGCCTACTCTGTAATTCAGCAGTACATACAAGAAGCCATCAACATAGAGGAACGCACCCTTGTCAATTATGTGGTTGTTGCACAATTCAAGTAAACCTTCGTACCTCCATTAGATCCATTCATAGTAACCGCATCCCACTTAGCCGTATGCTACTCTCCCGGCCCCTATTTAGAGAGCACAGTAGAATTGTCAATTAAGGTGGAGAGCAGTTTATGGGCTTTGTTCCTGCTGAGCTAGACTCTTTCAGGGCGAATGTAAGCTATCCACTCCTAGTTGTACTAAAGCAAAGGTGTGATGTTTTGAGGATGGATATCGAGTTTTTGGTACAAACATTTCAAACCTTTGGCTCTGCAATGGTGTACATTACTTAAATGTCATGAAATTTTTCATTGGTGCAGGTGATGGCTGCACAGTTCTTGACCTACCGCCTTTCTGAAACAATGTCTTCAACATTATCAAATGACCCAATCCTAATATCCCTCAAACAGTAACACAGTTTACCAGGAGACTTTTACCGCAAATAGTTATTATATTCTTGGGTAGCAGGGTGATCTTTGCTAACTGTAGCAGTAACCCACTATCATAGTTGGACTTGTTATCTGATACTAGAGTGGTAGCTCCTGTTGAGTCTCATGTTTCATTTTCTTATCATATTAGGACCGAGTTCTTGACTATGTCATTTTTCATTCCGTGACTCAAACCAAGACAGATGCTGACTTTCAAATGTCATTGCAGAGAAGCATAGTTAAGAAAAGTCACGAGATAGAACAGACAAAACCTCAGATTGTTTCTTTCTTGTTTTTTCCGAAGTATTCTGTCCCCTGTCAGTAGCAATTCCATTCAACATGGTTAACAGTGTTGTTGTCAGGCAATGGTAAGCTCGGAAAGCCTTGATCCCAACTGTTGCTTGTGCTATGGAGTAAAAGGTGCTACACCGAATGGAAACGAACCCCAGCTTTAAATAAAGTATTAAAGTACACACAATAAAGAGCATGAAACTTCCTATCAAGTGTTGGAATGGGTCCACCAAAGTTTCGATTCACATTACTCACTGGATTTTGGATGTCTATTCTTGTGGTCCAAGTCTTCCAGCTGATCATCAACCCAGCATTCTTAGCACTAATCTGTTCTCAATGGTCACTTGATGTAGTAGGTATAGAGAAATGGGATCCTAAGTTAGAGGTAAAAGAAATTTTTGTAGCTTGAAACTCTATATACAGATCGGTTCATTGTATATCTGCTTTAAAAATGCCTGGGTTTTGTTATTGTTATCACTGGAAAAAACATATCTGTAAGGGTCAAGAATATGGTCTTGTCCTATTTAAATAGTACTTTCCCTTCCATTAGATGGTACTTTAAATTTTAAGAGTAATTAACATTGTTGAAATGGGAGAATAATTTGGTCAAATTGCTTTCTGATAAAACACATAATTAAGAGTTTGAAATTAGTGAGTTTTACTTCACATTCTTTTAGATTAATGTATTAAGATAATAATAATAATAATAATGATGATGATTAGTTTATTTAGGAACATTTTTTAAAAATATTTCTAAGTATGAGGTATGTACTGCTATAGGATAGAAATATTTTTAAATAAGTAGATATTGATGCAGTTTAAAAACTTCATTTTCAATATCTGTAATAGTTTGATTATTTTAGAATGATTAAAGTGTTCCATATTTATATTTCATTATAATAATACATTATAAACTATTAGCAAACAATGCTTATTTCGTTGTTTAATTGTTTTTTCACACTTTTTAAACAAAACTATTTGAAAAACAATATAATCAAATATTGACTATTATATGGTTAAAATATATTTTGTAATGATTCAAACAACTTTTAAATTTTAAAAAAACCCAAAAATAAATTCAAATTAATAAATGATAATAACTGAATATGTAAATAAATCAACTTATAATGCATGTGTTGCATATATATATATATATAATTTTTTACTAAATCTATTATATTTTTAATCTTTAATATTTTTTAAAAATTACATTTTGTATTTCTAAAGTTTAATACAGATTTGTATTTTTAATTAAAAGTTGTCTTTGTTAAGTTGTGAAATTGGAATGATTAATGATATTTTATTAAAAAATTCTCAATAAATCAAACATAAAATCCAACTTTAGTTTTTTAAAAAATATTAATAATGATAATAACAATAAATTCATAAAATATTTAATAACATGAAATGATTTTATTTGATTTTTTATACATACAAATTTTAGATTTATATTTATTTAATATAAAAAATATCTTTTTTGGATTATAATTCTATATATATATATATATATATATATATATATATATATAAATTATGTATCTAACTTAATGTATAAGACTCCATAAAATTGGTGAATTACATATTTTTTTTAAATATTATTGGATGCATTAAGATGGATTTTTTATGGCCATTACTTGGCTAATTATATAAGTCTATTATTGTCACTAAATGAGTAGAAATAATATATATCATTATGTCTTTTAGACTACATAATATTCTTTTAGCTTACAAATTTATAATAAACTATTTTTTTAAAGCTTATTTTGATTTATGTCTATTTTTTTATAAATATACTTATTTTATATAGTTTTAAAAAAATATATTTGGGAACTAAAAACATGTGTATTAACTATGAAAAAAATTAATTTTATTTTTTCTTTTTGTATATATTAAAATATATTTTAATATTCTCTTTATAAATATTTTCTTTTAAGCAATTAAATTTATCATATGATCAATACCTCTTTAAAATTCAAATATATATATAGATATATATATATATATATATATATATATATATATATCTATATATAGATATGTGTGTGTGTGTCTATGTGTATAATTGTACATATATTAAATTGGCATATTCTATTCTTTTTTAAAACTTTTCTCTTAGAATTTTCTCAATATACAAGTCTAACATTTATCTTCATTTGTGATATGTAGCTTAATTTAATTTAATTTAATTTAATTTTTTTAATTCCAAAATTTATTATTTTTTTAAATGTATACATCATTCAAAGTACAAAATATAAGAAATGTTGAAATTATAATATATCTTTGAAGTATCAATAGATAAATCTTAATATTACATTAGTAATATTAGAATCGATTAGCATACATTGATAATATTAGCATAGATTATCTCTTGGTTTATAGAATAAATCAAAAGTTTTTTCATTCAAACTAAGAGTGAAGATTTAGTTTGTCTTGCTATCTAGATAGTATTAGATTCTAAGATACATATAAATTCTTGATTGTTTTTTTTTTTTTCTTCTTTTTTTTTTTTTTTTTAATTTAATAAGATAAGTTATCAATTTTGGTTTTAAAATTCAATATTATATTCTTAAAAAATTATAAATTTGATTTCATATTATTATTATAATTTATTTTCTTATTTTTTGAATAAAAAATTTGATAAATTAATTACTCAAAACAACTTAGGTACCTATGAAATCATTAAATTTTGACCAATCTTATTCAACTTTATAACAATTATTTGAATAAATATTTGTTAGTATAATATTTGAGTAATAAGCCACCAAATAATATACTTATATTCAAAGAGATTTAAGTATCTAAAAATATTTTTATAAAAACAATTATACAATAGTTTCTTCAATTTTAAGTTTAACTTGTAAAAAATGATATTTAATTATCTTCTACAATTTTATCTATCCTTTGTTCTTAACTATCCAAATGCCATCTTATATCATATTAATTCAATATCAAAGATAGAATATATTGAGATTTTTCTAAAAAATAATAATCTTAAGGAACAACATTAATTTTTATTTTTGCATCTATTTGCGTAAGCAAAATTTATTTATATCTGTTAAAGATATCTTTAATTCTTTTTAATTAACCTTTATAGAACAAAAATACTCTATAGAATCAAAATATTCTCTCTCTCTCTCTCTCTCTCTCTCTCTCTCTCGATATATATATATATATTAAAATAAAAGTAGTTTTTAATTTTAATTTTTATCTTTATTCAATTTATAGATCTTTTTTTATGATGTGAAATTATAATCCATACAAAACTAAGCTACCATTTTTTAAGATCTTTTAATTTAGTTGTTATAATTCATATTTAATAAAAAAATATATTTTATTCTTCTAGTTGAAGTATTAAAATTATCCTTTTAGTGGTAAGATTTTCATGGTTTTTTTAATATAAATTTAATCTAGGCTATTCTATACTTTAATTTTATAACAAAAATTCTAAGATACTTTATTAATACTTAGTATTCAGATACAATTTTAAAAAAACTATGTTTAAAATTTATTAATGATTCTTAATGAACTTATCTATTTAAATATGAAAAAATTATAAGATGAAAATGAGACACAATTTGCAATAAATGATCTCCTAAAAATATAAAAATACTAAATATTATTAATTTAATCTATATTATAAATTTTTAGATGAACAATGATCAAGTTTAAATTTTTGTAAAGATAATTTAAATTAGATTGGACTAAATAATAATACAAAATTTAAATTTGTAAAAAGATCAAAAATAAGTGAAAAGAAAAAAATACTAGTATTTTAGAAAATAAAAAGCCATAAAAAGTTTATTAAGCTAAGCATGGTGTCGTGTTGTAACACGAGTATACAGTGAAAATAAAAAAAAAAAAAGGAATTTTATTAATATTCAGTTACCTCGAATATTGGGAGCATCGACCAACTCCAGTACAAATACTGAGTGGTCAGGTTCAGTCACTCCGTTACAGTCACCTGGGGCATACTGAAATGCTCCATTCGATTCCAATAACGGGAGTCAGCAGGAAGAGAGGGACCAATTCACACGACGGGTTCGAAGAGCCAATTGGATCCAATTTTGAGAATCCAATCCGGGTCCTCTTATCCAATATGAGACCTGAATTGGCCGGTCAACCCAATGCAGTCTAATTACGGGAAATCCAGGTCTTACTATGGGTCTTAGCCAATCTGACGCGAGGACCAATTTGACCCAATTACGGGAACATCCAGGTTACTACGGGCATCTTTCCCAATATGGGACCTGAATTGGTCGGGCGACTCAATGTGGTCCCGATTACGAGGTTCGATTGTGTTTCAGGCTGTCCTGTTCTCTGTGCCGTTTCAGGGAACATTGTTTTCGGTAAATGGATTTCTTAAAGGTAAAAATGGAGGAGAAAGCTCTGACGGCGAGAGCCAATTTTGGATCCAAGCTTGACGGCGAGAGCCAATTTCGGATCCAAGCTTGAGGTGGGTGCCAATTCCGGATCTAAGACGGAAGATTGAAGAAATTCAGAGGATAAGGTTAGGGGGGATATAGTTTTGAAAGGGGGGTTTTTTTTCTCTGGGGAATTGGGGGGAGCTAGTTTTCAAGCTTTTGCAAGGTTACTAGTTTGGTTTTCATTGGAGGTTTTTGAAGATCAAAGGGATTAGAGAGAGGAGCTTCATGCTTCGGGTCAGGGAAGGAAAGACAGAGAATTTGGATTTTTCTTCTTCATAGAGTTTTGGGAAGGCTGAGGCAATCGCTGCTGAAGTCAGTATTGTAATGGTGAATCGAGATTTTTATTGAAGTGGGTTTGAATACTCTTGACTGTTTTGTGAAATCGAGTTACGTCTGTGATTGAAGGATTAAAAGGGCGTCTATAGGATTGAGTATGCAGAGTGAATGAAATTTATTGGGTTAATCTAACAAGACAGTCAGTGGATACAAGATCGTAAGTACAAAGCTGTATTGAAGATTAACAGTTTGGGTTGTTCGGGGTTCTCTGTAACGTCTAGAGACCTACCGGCTGGGGCAAAAAAGGACTTCGATAAGCAGTTGAAGAACATCTGTATAGATTTACGGTACATTGTTGCAGTCGTTTATATTCCAATAGTCAAAACTGATAGACTGCTTGACTATCGACGAATCTCCATACTACCTTCTACAGCCAGACGCCCGGCGCGTTCTCGAGCAGGAAAGCACATAATACGACAAAAAGTGG